AGACATCAAACTCTTTCAATTTTACAACAATGCAAAGTAACTGCAGTTTTTCTGCAAATTCATCAGAAAGTATACTTCTGAAACAATGACTGCATAATTTCTTCAAATTTACTGCAGAATGACCACGGATTTAAAGTTTCAGTTTTTTCTAAATTTATGATTTTAAAGTGACCTCACTTAAACTACAGTAATTTTGTAGACAATAGCTAAAAGTTTTTTCGAAATAAATTACTGAGAAATTACTTCGCATTAGCTGCAAAATAACTGCAGTGTTTTTACAGTTAAGATTGCACTACAGAAAACTTGCAGTTAACTCTAAAATAACTACGAAATTACTTCAGTTCTGTAGAAAAACTACAGTTTATTTTCAGTTGGGTATAGCTATATAAATTCAAATTAAACTATATCTCATAATAAATATTATTTTTAATTCTGCTCCTATTCTTTACTATTAATCTATAACTATCGTAAAATTCTAATTTATTTACATTTTCAAAAACTTTAATTAGCATTGTACTTTTAATTAAATATTAATTCTGCATTTTCAATTTTGCCTCAAAAATTGAACTTGAAGAATGGTAAGAACTTTTATGCTAGCAACAAAGGAAAAATATTTTGTACAATGTGATAAATACTTTATGAAATACGAAGATAGCATTAATTCTGAATTTCAATTAAATAGAAGCTGAAAACAGGATAAAAGCAGAAAAATTCAAAATACTGCTTAATTTTTTTAAATATAATATTTTCCACTTTTTCTTTGAATGATATAATTAAAATAAAATGCATTGAGCATCTGAAGATTCTGATTTGAATGAATAGATGTTGCAAATGTGAACTTTCATAAATTAAAGACAGTCAACTTTATTAATAGAAAGCAATTTAAATAACAGCAATTATAGTCTGTATGAACTATAATTTCGTAAATATCTTTTATGAAAGAAGTATAGAATGATATGAAATTAATTATCCAGAAATGTTCTGTACCAAAATTATACATAAAAAAACTAAAACATGGATATAAGTTTATTATATTAAAATAAAATGTTAAAACTTTAATATGAAAAAATCTGAAAAAATTCCAGAACTCTTATCAGATATAATATATTCTCACACGCTTTGACAAAGTTTCAGAATCAGATTTTTTTAATATTCCATCATCATCCACATTTAACACTTTCAATTTTAACAAATTTTTTTGACAAATAATTTAAATGAATAGTATTTTATTAAAAAACGCTGAAAAACAGCTAATTTAAATGGAATGTGTATATAACACATTCAAAATAAAAGTATTTTCAAAATAAGAGCAACAAGGTATATCTACTTACTAAAAAGTAATGCAGCGTCTTCTTCAGAAATACAGCTGTGAACTAAAAGTTGTTTTAATTCTTCTTAATTCAAAATATTAAATGACATATTCTCCAGAAAAAAAATTAAACGTAAAATAAAAACGAAGACATAATCTATTTAGATCACAGAACAAAACAATTTTATTTAGATTTATCATTGTTTGCTTTTTAAAATAAAACGATAGAAATTCCAGCTTATATTTCGCGCACAATTAAATAATAAAATAATCACTCAAGTTTGAGCTAAAAGCACTCAAATATTGCTTAATAAATACCACTCAAGTTTGAGTAAACGCAAGGCAAGAATTTCGCTCAAATTAGAATGTGTTTCACTCAAGTTGAGTTAAAAAAATTTAACTCTTTTTTGAGTAGGGAAAATAACTCTTTCATTTTAAGAGAGTACGTTTACTTAAATTTTTTTTAAATTTAATATTGAATAAAAGTATCGAGAGTTACTTAAACTTAATTTTCAAAACTATTTACCAGTTTTGATATATCTTTTTCATTCATCCTTTGCATAACTTTCAAAAGCTGGTTCAACTTCAAGCTTCACAGACAGAGTTTTAAGGTGGACTGAATATTTTACAATTTTTGCGTTTCTAATTGTTGGAATAATTTTGATGCTCTTGTAACAATAAAATATCTCACAGACATTGTTTAAATAATTGCTGCTTATTTTTTTTAAAAAGACTTTTCATTGTTGACGAAACTTTTTCGATCTAATATTGAGAATAGCTGACAAGCATTGTTGTGATGTACCCCACCCCCTCCAAATAAAAAATAATCTGATTAACTGTACTAATATGAATACAGTGAGAGAGAAAAAAAGAATATCACCTTTAATAACTTTTATATTAATGATCGTATTTACGAAATACCAGTCTTTGTTGTTTAATTGTTTCCGGTGCAGTGCAGCCAGTGTGGCAACACTAATTCAATAAATGTTACAAAACCACTAGAAATGTAAAATTAATTGCTTTTAAATGTTTAGTAACCAATAGTTTGTGCACTACAAAGAGCAAAAGAATGTAGCTTCACCATGAATGTACTGAAGGAACATTCATTGAAATAGCTAGCATAATGTAGTGCTAAGAACGCACTTGCTCATGTTTCACTTGACTAAATCTTTTAATCAAAATGTGCTCTTCCCGGAAGGATTTAAAGGCTAAACCTCAAATA